ATAATAATAATAATAATAATAATAATAATAATAATAATAATAATAATAATAATAATAATAATAATAATAATAATAATAATAATAATAATAATAATAATAATAATAATAATAATAATAATAATAATAATAATAAATTTAATCACTTCAAACTTTCATGTACATGTATGAACAAGATCAAGTACAATGTACATTAATTTACTAAAGGAAATTGCTCAGTTCTTTAAATTAACTATTCATATTATGCTTGTGTTCATTAACTTTAATGAGGGGGGCATGAAAATTCTAAGATGTCCCTGACCCCCTTAAAACACTGTACATTATAATGTACACAATACAACAGTAGAATATCCTCATGCCCCTCCTCCAGTATATTACCAGTAGCAGTAGGGGAACTAGGAGCAGTACCAGTAGTAGACTCATCATTGTAAGTATTGTTGTAATGTTCATAGAGTCCATTAGTCCAACTACCCACTCCTCTAACGTGTAACCAGAAGACATCACTCATCTCTGGGGCTGAACTGATAGTGAATGGGTGCCACTCATACCTAGTGATACTGGGTATCTGAATGAAGACATAGTCTCCTGGTTGATAGTTGAAGTTAGGAGGTCTGGTTATGGAGAGATGTGTCACCTGTATATGAAGAATAGGAGATTAATATAAATTATAAATGTTTTATGAATTACGTTTGACAATTCATAAACTTTCTGCATAGCTTAAGGACATTAATGAGTGTATCAGAAAATGTAATAGAAATTGGGAGTGATTTTGGAGCCATTTTTTGGAGAAAAAAACATGAGTTATAGCCTTGTAGAAAGCATTATTAATAGTTGATATTATTTTTTATTTTTATTATTATTATTACTTTGGATGGTAGGAGATTCACTTCTTCAATATAAGTCCGTCCATAATGAATAATTTGAAATAATTTTGACCGAAATATCTTCTCAATAATAAAGACAATAGCAGGACCAATGAACCACTTCCAGAAGTGAGGCCCATGAAGTATCAATACAATATACCACATGATGTACAAGCAATGCGACCAGTAGAATATCTCAAACTTTCCTTTACGTCTCACAACAGGCAGTGAGCACACACACATTATTATTAGTATTATTAGTAATAGGAATCCTGTTAGTCCAGCAGTACCATAGACCCAACCAATAGTACCGACACCAAACAAGTAATGGACCATTGAATAATTAGAATATATACTGTCATCAATCTCAATGTAACCTATTCATAATAATAATAATAATAATAATAATAATAATAAATGTGTTCTATTTTTAGTAACATACGCCCTGTACTATAGTAGTCTATTATTAAATGTTCCTAATTTCAGATGCTAATAACTCAAAAAATTGAAGTCGGAATCAGCTCAAACTTTCTACACAGCATAAGGACATCAATATGTATCAGAAAATGTAATAAAAATTTGGGGTGATTTCGGAGCCATTTTTTAGAAAAAACCATGGGCTATAGCCTTGGGTATTTTTCAAAATTTTGGTATTTTCTTAAAATTGCAGCAACTTGAAAAATTGAAGTCAGAATCAGCTCAAACTTTCTACACAGCATAAGGGCATCAATATGTATCAGAAGATCTAATAAAAATTTGGGGTGATTTCGGAGCCATTTTTCAGAAAGAACCATGGGCTATAGCCTTGGGTATTAATTGGCATATTAATCAGTTCATAACTATTACTATAACTCACTGAAATTTGCAAGATGTGCCACAAAATGAACAAGAGACAGTGCAATGATAGTATACCCCACAACCTTGTGTAGTTTAATGAACTTGTCCAGTGGAAATAGAAAAGAGAGTCTTGTTGATCTAATAAGTGTAGCAATGTGACGATACATCAGTATAAGGACAACCACTGGAGTGAAGTTGAGACAAGCACCTGCCCCTCGTGCTATTGATATTAGAAACACTGAGAGAAAAAATATAAATATATAAATACCGGTATACACATGTAAATATACATGTACATGTATGTGTAAAGCATCTTTTATTATTATCATTATTATTATTATTATTTACTTGATTTCCTATATCTGATTGCTGCCTCCACAAACAGAACAATATTAATCATAAAGAACACAGATAAGAAGATGAAATACGACAAATCATTTCTGATGCGATTCCATGACAACCAAGAAGGCCAAAGTCTCTCCGAAAGTTTCTTATTTTGACTAAATTTTTGAGGCTTGAGCCAATTAGAAGCACTAGAAATATCATTAATAAATTTATTTTACTTAGTTTATTTATTTATTTGTTTGTTATTTACCTGATTGTTAAGTTGTCAATAATGTCCGGATATTTATCAAAAACATTCTTCAGTTCTTCAAAGGAAATGCTCCCATTTTTATCAGCATCAGCAAAATCAAACAGAGCGCTGAAAATAATAAAAAATGATTTTTAAAAATTGCAAAAAATAATAAACAGTCAGCAACAGTCCAACTAATACTACAATTACAAGTACATGTAGGTGTGGTAGGATAATAATAATAATAATTACTTTGTTAGTGTGTCTAAATTCTCTTCATTAATTCTCAGTGAACTTTCACTGGTACATGATCTGAGGATAATCTTTAATTCATCATAATCAATACTACCATCACCTAGTAAACAATAATAACAACAACAATAACAGCAATAATAATGTATACAGACTAGCCTCTATATAATGGACACTTTGAAAGTGTCTTTGTTATACAGAGGTGTCCTTTATGTGGAGGTTATTTTATACAGTAAGGAATGTAATTGGTACACTAGGTGCTGTCCGTTAAATGGAGGTGTAAGCTATAGAGAGTGTCCATTAAGAGAGGCTATACTGTATACATGTACATTAGCAGATACAAATCACTTACCATCAACATCGTAAACTTGAAAAAGAAACTTGAGTTTATCCAATTGTGTCCCACTCATCAATAAAGTGACTCCATTAATCATCTCATTGAGGCTAATGGACCCATTCCCATCTTTATCAAATATTGAAAAGAAACGACTAGCAAAGAATGAAGACTAGAAAATATAAAATAGTTTTGGAGTAACTTATAAAAATTAGTAAAAAATTCAATTTTGATCGGAATCAACTCAAACTTTCTACACAACATAAGTACATGTATATGCATCAGGAAATGTAATAAAAACGAAGAATTCTCTACTTTTCATTTTTGGCAAAATTCGGTTTGTGACCCTGTACTATAGTACAGGGACTTTTATCCGATTTTGGAGTAACGTTAAAAATTCGTAAAAAAATTTAATTTTGATCAAAATCAGCTTAAACTTTCTACACAACATAAGTACATGTATATGCATCAGGAAATGCAGTTACTTGTGATAAATGAAGTGCCTTTCTGAATCCTTCAAAGTCGATCTGTCGATCGTCACCAGCAATAGAAATAAACTGAGTCTCAAACCACAGCAACCAGTTAGCATCTTTATCAACACTACATTAATATTATTATTATTATTATTATTATTATTATTATTATTATTATTATTATTATACGTGTGAATGTCACTAATTAAATTATATCGCTAGTAATTACTGATGATCAAATAACGTTCACTTACTACCAAATAACAAAGGAATCCAAGCACTGACATCCACTGTAACATTATACACATATCAAGTACATACATGTATCAGTACATGTAGGAACACATAAGATGATACAGTCACTAATAATTGTACAAGTAAATGTACATGTACCGTATAGCCGGTAATTTTGGAGGGGATTAAATTTGGGAAATTTGGCGTTTTGATAGCCATTCGCCAAAATAAAAACCCACCATTTTGAGCTATTATACGCATGCTCAACGGCATGTGGCCATAAATTCGCCAAATTAAAATTCGCTGATCACCAACATTTAGCAATTCGCCAAAATTTATCCCCTCCAAATTATTAGTCTTTAGAATATTTAAGTACATGTATATTATGCTAAATGAAGGGAGAGTATTCTTACCAGGAGAGTTTACTTAACGAGTCCAGCATTTGAGGTACTGTCATTTTACCAGAACCACTGACATTCATTAATAAGAACAATTTATCAAGAAACTACATAATAATAATAATAATAACAACAACAACAACAACAACAATAATAATAAATAATGATGATTGAATGCAGTATAGCATCTATTGTTCATGATACATATTCATTATATTCAATAATAACATACTCCGTCTGTTTCCAGTGCCTTTTTGAATTCATCAGGTTGGAGGAGCTGATCCTCTCCAGCTGTTTCAATAAATAATGTCTCAAACCAAGAGAGGATCTTATGCTTAGTCTCTTTACTATAAAGGAGAGAGAGGAGGGAGAGAGAGAGAGCGGGGGGGAGAGAGCGGGGGAGAGAGAGGAGGGAGAGAGAGGGAGAGAGAGCGGGAGAGAGAGAGAGGGAGAGAGGTATAGTGAATGTTACTACAGTCAGGAGTTACTCTAGAATACTACAATATGCTCTGGCATTGCTTCATAGTAGGGAGTGTGGCATTGTGGACATTCATAAAATATAATTAACTTAAAAGTATGAAAATTGACAATAATCCGATTCCGTGAAAACAATAACAAGAATTCTACTACCCATATCTGTGATTTACTTTTGAAGATACAGCACTATCAATTACACTCTCTCTTCTCTCAAACTGTATATCCTTTATTAATGATTTAACTGAACTTTGTTTATGTCATGATATGTTAATAAACGACCTTCTGCTGATGCATACCTGAGTGCGTACAACAGAATTTAATAGTATTAATAGGAACACGAATTCTTATGTAGCAGACGTGTAGCTATACCTACAGCATAGTCTGTGAGGTAGAGTCTATCATATGAACTAACGTAATCAGGTTCATTCCATCAGATTTTTTGTACTGTTTGCAGTACATGTATAACTATCTACTACATGTACATGTACATACATGATATTGTACATGTAATGGTGTACATGTACATATACACACACATCATGTTGCATTTACAATAATGTATTTACTATGTACACACACACACACTTGATACTGTATACACAATTGTCTATAGTAATTTATTAAGTTGTTAGATGTACTGTATTAGATGTTATTAGTACATGTACTGTATGTACCGATACATACACACACACACGCTTGATGCTGTATACACAATTATTCATAATTATAGATTAATGTCATTAGTTGCTTACACTGTTAATCTGCTTAATCCTCCAATCAGTTCTTGCTGACTGATACTACCAGACTGATGGACGTCAATCAACTGGAACAAGTGATAGGCAAAACCCTATAATAATAACAAGAATAATAATAATAATAATAATAATAATAATATTAATAATAATAATAATAATAATAATAATAATAATAATAATAATAATAATAATAATAATAATAATAATAATAATAATAATAATAATAATAATAATAATAATAATAATAATAATTGAATAATGCACACATGTACATGTATTAATTGGATATACTACTAGTATATGTATTGTAATAATGGAAAGTTTTTAGTTCAAAATGTGACGATTCTGTCCAGTTCATGAATTAATGATCAAGGCTACTTTTGGTAAATTTCATTTTCTTTATTCTTCATAAATTAGTCATAAAATTAATCAAATTCAGCAAACACAAAACTAATTCAAATATTACTTCAACTAAACATCTAAAGTAAATACACACAATACTTACTGGTAGGTCAGTATCTACTGCTGATTTCAAGTCACCCAGCGTCACATACCCTCGACCAGTGACCACCAGGTGTCCCTCCAGTCTACGTCTGATCCACTCCAGTATCTCCCCAGTGGTCTTCACACTGGTACCAGGAGAGAGCTCCTCATTCTCATCAACAGTGATCACTGTATCACTCTCTTTTATAACCTCAGACCCAGTGAACCTGAACTTACTAGTAGATACAACAATAGGCTCAGCTGAACTGGATAGACTGGAATCACTGATATTCAGTGCAGTGTGATTCACATATACTGCCATTGAAGAGAGAGAGAGGGACAGTTAATAATAAAGATAAAGAAGGAATAAAGAAAAGATATAAGCTACTGCAGTGTATGGCACAGAGCATGTGTGTCTACTTATATAGGAAATAAGAGCTCATGTTACAGGAAGTGATGGTGTCTATATTATGATATGAATGTGTATCATAATCTATAATGAATGCATTGTATACTTGTATTAGTACATGTATACTAGAGATTAACTATAGGTAGGTGTAGTATCTGTTAATAGTGATTTGTACTTACTAATGAAATCACACAATAGTTTAGTATTGTTTTTTAAATTGCATTTAAGCTCATTACCCCCCCTGGTGTGGGGGTCTGGTAACTGATACTGTTAATTATTAGAGTAATGTTAAACAAATTGGTGACCAGTGACTGTAATTGTTTCATAATTTTGGTTTAATTAACACTCTCATATACTTGTATGCCCACACAGCAATACACCACAAGCAAACACACATAGAAACACAGCACATGTACAAGAGAGGTAGGGTGAGTCATATCATGGCATCATTGGAATACATTCAATGGGAGATGAAGACCAGTACAGTTGTACATACACACAACAGTGTCTGTGTGTGTGTGTGTCTGTGTGTGTGATGAGGAAGCAACACTGTACATGCACTAAAGGCGGATTTACAATATGACATTAGGCCAGCGTACCGTCAATTTTTAATCAAACGCGTGGGCAGTTTGACCTTTTGACGCATGCTTTCCACTGGAATAAAACCAGATTCTATTTCAGCGTCAACGTAACGTCAGGACTAGCGTAATATTGTAAATCTGCCTTAACAAGTAAGTACATATCTGTATAACGCAAAATTTTTGAGCACTGTAAAATTTTGCGGATTTTGCATTTTTTAAGATTTCCAAAAAAGACATCCGCAAAATTGAATTATTATTAGGGTACAAAATAGCAGATGGCATAAATTTGCAAAAATAAATAAATCTGCAAAATATATTTTTAGGCAAATTCACGCAATTCACAACCCTCAAAAATTGTGTACATGATGTGGGTATGAGAAACAATTAAATAATTAGTAGACTAGTTTAGCAATAGCTACATGGATATGTACGTGTAGTATCTGTTCACAGTGATTTGTATTTTCTAATGATATCACACAATAGTTTAGTATCGTTATTTAAAAATTGTATTGTTTTTGAAATTGTATTAAGCAGCTCATTCTTTAATGTGTGGTCTGGTAACTACGCTATACTATTAATGACTTGGAGTTACAATAGCGTGAAATATTTATTAGTGACCAGTGATTATAATTATTTCATAATCTTGTTTTAACACTTCTATTCACCATGTGTAAGTATAGTGTGTTCCATTAGCTGTCGGGGATATAAAATTGACTCAATTAATTGTGTCATTGTCTTCCAATAGAATCTCATTTACTATTATTATAATTATTAATGAATAGGAATTCTTAGAGCAATGGGGCATGACAGTAGCCTTTTATCACAGAATATGTGAACAAAGTAATTAGCTAAATTAATAATTAATTGACACAAAGTCAAATTTCTTATTTAAAAACATGATTACTATGAGAATGGTATTTTATTAGTGCAACTATAATACAATAATTATACTAATAAAGGGAAGGAGTTAGGAATATTTATATTACAATAAAAACTATATTGTGTACAATAGTTTATTGTACACAATAAAGAGAGGGTAATGTACATGTACATGGTATCATTGGTATCACATGAGAATACACTACATTGAATACAGTATGGAGTGGAAACTGATACATGCATACTGCTGTGTGTGTACATGTACATACAAGTGTGAGACATAGAGGAGACAGTGCATGTACATGATGCATGTATAAGACAATCACATTATCATTACTACAATCACCATCTTATTCCTTTTTAAACTGGTTGCTGTAGACTCACTAGACTGTAATTTGCTGTTAACTCCATAGCTGCCACCATTCTATTATAACCAGCCCCACCTTTATTAAGGTTATCCCACGTGTTCCCATGCTGTATCTGAATGCGTCATAAAGATATCCATGGTGTCTCTATAGCAACCCTATTACGTCATTAGGACCATATTACGTCTTTGGTTTCTATGGACGTCATCAGGTATCCATAGTAACTTTATTTGCGTCATTAAGTAACCATGGCAACCTCTAAGGTGACCTTTGACCGACCAATAAGACTATACTGGACTGCCCACTTCCAGTCAGTTGTAGCTTTTTGTGGTAGAGGAGGGGTCCCTCTTTCTCTCTGTGTCTCCCTGTCTAATGGCTGCTAGCTAGCCTAGCTGTGGTTAGTCCTGTCCCTTTCTCTCTCTCTCTCTCTTCTCCCCCCAACCTTCTCTAGTGAGAAGGGTAGCCATTTTATCCTCTCTACCACTATTTTGTCAAAATTTTATTCTTTTTTCCCTTTTCTACAGGTTAGCTGCCTCCAGTCTCCATTACTACAGTTTTTTACTCACTGCCTGGCCTAACTCCTGACTGGTAAGAGCCTATGGCTTTATCTCACTTGTCTCACTCTATTTTTTCTCTCAATAGGTCTATGGCTGCCATTTTGTCCTGTAACTTATGACGCCCACGCATCATTTGATGGCTACCACAAGTGGAGACAGAATACTGAAGACTGGATGTCATTACAAGTGAGGATTTTAATTAACTTGTGCTTTTGTCACTATGATGTACTTACCATTGCCCTTTAAAATTTGAAAATTCAAATTCAAATTTTAATATTTAAATTCAAATTTTAGTGTTTCATTTCAAATTTTAGTACTAAAATTTAAATTTTATCATTTAATTAAAAGTCCTAAAATTCAATTTTAAATTTACAAGTTGTTTGTCCCAATGTTATGATAAGAACAATGACCCTCATGTTAACTTGTATTCTTCTTCTTTTGATATTAGGAGAGACTGTTATAACCTGCCCTGCTAACTGTGATGATTAATCAAGATCACTGGATTACTTGGACAGTCATACTGGTCTACTTGGACTATCATGTTGCAGTTTACTGGGATGGACACACGAATTGGCACATGGAAGGATGTCTCATGGATAATGCAGTGAGTTACCTATTCTACTACTAGCTGGGCTGGCCGACCAGACCCAGCTAGTAACGCACTCATACAATCCTTGCATGTCATTATATGTATGCCCCCATTTGCATGCGTATAATACCATTAGGGAGGGGCTTGTTACACGAAACATCGCGCGTATGCTATAATGTAAAGAACCCTGTAGTGTAGGTACATTCCCCATTATTACCGACTGGCCTGATACACTTGTTATAGTTGTCCCGTCATACACTAGGCTGTATGTTTCTGGTAATATTTGTGAAGGAGATCCTGTCAAGAATGGAAAGCTGGTGCATTGATTGCAGTAACACGTTAGTGGGTGTGTGTGTGGGTTTGTACCCAACCCACATACACACCACTCATTAGTGTGTCCAGCTTTTCATTCTTGACAGGATCTTTCTCACAAGGTCATATTACTTGAGATATGTTGACTGGTGTGTGCTGGGATGTAGGAATTATAATCATGTATTGCTAGTATAGTGTATGTATGTGTGTG